CTTCTCCCCCTCCCTCTCTCTCTCTCTCTCTCTCTCTCTCTCTCTCTCTCTCTCTCTCTGTTTCCCTATCTTTTTCTCCCTTTTTCCTTATCTCTTATTCATTTATCTGATATACCTTGATCGTAAATCTCGCAATTAATACATTAAAATTTTCACGATGTTTTAGTTTACAGCCATGGAGGAAAGAGTGACAAAGTCCGAAATTGCATCCTTCTATAGAGACAAGACCATCTTTATCACCGGCGCTTCCGGCTTCATGGGTAAAGTTCTCTTGGAGAAATTGCTATACCGTTGTTCTGATCTCGACAAAATCTACATTCTCATGCGAAGCAAGAGAGGCCGCAGTGTCGAAGCCCGGCTCGACGAGATGTTCAAGTTACCTGTAAGGACCGTGCGAGAATCACGTTATCTTCCTCTCTGGTTTAAGTAATATTACGCAAAATAATATCATAGTATTCTAAATTGTTGCGCGAATATTGTGATACACTTTCCTCTTTCTAATTGTATCTTTCTATACTTAATTATATTAATTTATATATTTAATCATTAATCATGTTGTTAAAATTAATTAATGGTGTGTAAAACATGATTGAAAAACTCATGATTAATATACAGCTATATATAAAGAATATCTTACAAGCGCATAATTCAATAAAGTAATATCTTATAAAATTTAGTTATTAATATTTCTTCCAATTTTAATAAAATTTTTATTTCAAAGAATACTATTGTATTATAAGAATTTGATAGCACGATATAATACAAGAAACTTTGATGTATGTAAATCCAGCACTCCCATCATTAAAAAGAAGTCAAATATAATATGTCATAATTAAATGCAATTATATATTAAATTAATATTCAATATAATTAAATTATATAATTATTTCATTATCATTTAATCTTCAAATGATACATTTCTTTCGAGCACCCACTAATGAAACACTGGTGTCGCGACTAGCCGACGAATAGCCGCGACAGATATCTTTGTGCAAATCTCAACAATTCGAAAATTTTCGCAGTGCGAATTTGCACTCTTTTACTATTTGAAGGTTAATATAATTAAATTTATCATTAAATATTAAATTAAATAAATTAAATGCAATAAATTAGCATTTAATTATGGCAAATATATTTGAACTATTTTTTTAAGAATGCTAAGTTCACAGACGTGGAACTTTGAACTTATAATAAAAATTATTTCATAAATCAGTTTTGGATAAAGGCGAGATTTTCGAAATTATTACGATGTAGCTTGAAATAAAAATAGCAGAGTGTATATAATACGTGTATATATATCTGCAAAAAATGAATAACAGATTAACAATTGATATTTTTACAGCTGTTCCAAAGATTGCGGAATGAGAAACCTCAACAATTTAAGAAAGTGATACCGATAAATGGCGACGTATGTTTACCCAATTTAGGCCTTACCGATAAACAGCGTATGCTTCTAACGGAGGTACACGTGGTATTCCATTTCGCCGCGACACTTCGATTGGAGGCAAAATTGAAGGATGCCATCGAGATGAACACGGTAAGATATTAACCGCCAGGGAAGGAATTTCAATCAGTCTCTCTTTCCAGAATTGCATTTGTATTATTTCATGCGTTATTGATTGTTAATATCAAATATGTTACGCATGGCTATCGATTACTGTGTGATCATCTTTAAGGTTCATGTTCACGCGGTATTTTACATAATAAAAAAATAAAATGAGACAAAATTAAGCTCTTATGCAAATCAAGGCAATATTAACAATTAGTTAAATTTGTGATCAACAATAAGAATTATATATCTTTTAAATCTAATTTTTTTTATGAGCAATATACTTTAGACATCTAAATTACATGAAGTTCGAATAATCTTTAAGACAGGTACAAAAAAAGTACTGGACTTGGCAAAAGAAATGAAGCATCTAGAGTCCTTCATACATTTAAGCACGGCCTTCTGTCACGTCGACCAAGAGGAACTTGGTGAACGTACCTACGATTCGCCTGATGATCCTCAGGATATCATGAGACTTGTTCAGTGGTTAGACAACGAGAGTATCGATCTTATTACACCCAAGTAATTAAACTTGCGACGTTATTAATGATATTAGCTGTAAATCGTATCCGACGAATACGGTTCACTAATATTAATTACAATATTAATAACTAATATTAACTACAATATTAATCATTAATATTAATATTTATTATATTTAGTATATTTGATATTAATTAATTGTACTAATATATATGTATACATATAGTGTGACTATATTTAATTATATTATTATATTTAAAGAACCTAAAATAATACATATTAACTACAAGATAAATATTATTAGTGCATATAAAGCTATCATTATTTTTTTCAGTCAATGACTTGATTAAAGTTAAAGTTAATCTAATTAAGTTTATTCTATAAATTTACAAAAAAATTTACATTTAAAAGTAAAATTAAATATATTCATTTTTTTATTTATAGATTACTTCATCCACATCCAAACACTTACACGTATTCGAAACGTTTGGCTGAAACATTGGTGACCAACGAATACCCCAATATACCTTGCTGTATTGCTAGACCATCGATAGGTAATTATCAGGCATATTTTAATAATAATCAGAGATTGTAAAAATAATATTTGGACACAATTGTGAAGAAGAATAACAATTAATTCATCTCATTATTATTTAGTAATACCTACTTACGCGGATCCAATGCCAGGATGGGTCGACAATTTGAACGGACCGACAGGATTGCTTATCGGTTCGGGCAAAGGTGTCATCAGATCAATGCACTGCAACGGCGAGTATCACGCCGAAGTTATACCAGTCGATTTCGCGATTAACTCCGTAATTACGATTGCGTACAAACTTGCTACCGAGCAAAAGTAAATACCTTCCTTCTGTCTTATATTACTTTTTTTCCTCAATAATAAAACATGATTTAAATTAGAATAAATTTACTGCCTATGTTTATAAAATTTAAACTATTTCTTTGTTATTATTGTTTTCCGCGATGTTTAACATAAAGAGTTATTCTCTAAAACTTAAACAAAAATTACGACAAGAAATTTTAATTAAAACATATTTTCAAAATTTAAATTTTTATTGAATTTATTAATTAAAAAATATTGATTTATCATAATTTATAGTAAACTGTTTAACATTAAGCAAAATAATTATAATACTTTCTGATATAGAGACTTCATTTGTGTTTTACATTTGCAAAATTCTTCTGTTTAAAAATATTATAAATATTTTCTGTTAATTTTTCTTTATTCTAATGTATTTATTCACACAATTTATTCACTCTTTTATGTATCTGTTACTCGCAGAGCAAAAACTATACCCGTAATTAATATAACGCAAAGCAATGTAAGACCTATCACCTGGGGAGAAATATTAGAGAAGGGCAGAGATAGTCTTCATAAATATCCATTTGAGGGACAAATTTGGTATCCGGACGGCGATATACGTAGCAGCAGATTTGTGCATAATCTCTTCGTTTTCTTCTTTCACATTCTCCCTGCGTACTTGATTGACTTTCTGATGTTAATATTTCGACAGAAAAGATTGTAAGTTTTGCACTTCTTGATATATTTTTTAGAAATTATATTTTCTCGTATCTTTTCAAATATTTCTATTGTATAATATTTTTTAAACAATATTCTTATAACTGACAATGAGTAAAAATCTCCCTTAGCTATTATTTATCTTCGTTTCGTTTTCACAAACAGTATGGTCAAAATCCAGAAGCGAATCTCAGACGGGCTCGAAGTGTTGCAATATTTCACCACAAGAGAATGGATATTTTATAATGATACATTTGTTAAAATGCATAACGAATTAGCCCCAGTCGACAAGGAAATCTTTCCAAATATAGATTACGATATCGATGTAACTGAGTATCTCAAAAACATTATTCTTGGCGCACGGCAGTATTGCATGAAAGAGGATTTGTCTACCTTGCCGAAAGCCCGTCGACATCAAAAAATGTGAGTACTTTCTACGCAGATTACTATAAAAGGTTTTCATCGAAGAGCCGATGAAACAATTACGTAAGATTTGCATAGTCGCTTGCAAAAACTTTCCTGAAGACGCAGCAGAGTTTTTCAATAAACGAAAGAAAAATGAGCACAAAATGCATAGTTTTTACGCTACAATTTCTAGTGTTCTTTTTTCTCCCCATTCTTGGAAAGTGACAATTGTGCACTTCTAAGAGAAACTAAACACTTTCTATTACGAAGGAAAAAATATTTATTCACATAACAGAAGAGACGGCTAATAAGAGAAATTTTACGTTGTTTAAACTTGTCACTTGTTCAAATGAATACTTGTTCAAATGATTTCCATCTTATGCTTTCTGACACGCATTTCTGTTTTGCATTTTATATATCAATTATTTACATAGTAGATACATGTAATTACGAATTTGGATCTAACTTTCCTAAAAATTGAGAACATTATTTTAAATTTCTAAATTAGAGCAAATTATATAAACTAAATCAAACCAATTAATATTATAACTAAATTAAATAATATATTACAAATATTTTAATTATATCATTAATAAAATTAATATATATTATATTATAACTCAACTGAAATTATTTTAAGTTTACATTAAAATTAAACAAATTTAAATTTTCAGATTAATTTTTCCATTGTCAACAACTTATTTCTCTACATGTCAATCTTGATGTCACCAAAATTGTATTTCATGATACGTTTTTTTTTTCAGAATGTACGTTGTCCACATTACAACGGTGTATTTATTCTACTTCGGCGTATTATATTTTACTTACAACAATGTTGGAGTAGTGAAGATCTGCCTGGATTATGTCACTGAGATAATAAAATCGCTACCGCTTATAGGCGGTTTATTACAGAAGATGCATCTCTAATTATACACGCTCTATGTTTATTGAGTTACATGCACATGTGGAATATAGACGAGCAGACGAGAAACGTTAGTTTCTCTGACGATAATCTACTGCGTCTCTCCTTTGAACCATTTGTAATTTGGGACATAAATTATGATGGGAAAGCAATTTCAACATAACATCAATATGGAAAATGCTATTGTTGATATTAGTTGTAAATTCAATGTAGAAACTAAATTATTATGTCGCAGGTGTTTGAAAAAACTGACTATCTGCATTAGTTTTAAACTCTCAATCAAAAATGTAGATTTTTAGGAAACTCCAACAAAATAACATGTGCGAAGTACAATACGTAATATATAGGAACTTTTTCTATACTGTATAGATTCGATATAAAAATATATCGCTACATTATCCGATACATATGTACAAGCATATCTAATGGAATAAAGGTTTATGTGATATAGGTATGTATTGTTCAAGAATAAGAAATTTAATACTAACCCATTGTTATAATAAAAAAATTAATCTAAAACCAATCGCATGATTTATTATACACGCGTTGTCAGTTATTTACACTTATGAATAAAATATGCTCTTTTCATGTTTTATTTTTAATAAAAGCTTTCATTTTAATTACATTTATTGCGATATAGAATCGACAATTTCAGTTCAATTAAGTATTCACTGTTACATAAATTATTTATTGAGTCTATTGTAAACGATCTGTAATTTAAAATAGAGATTCAAAACTCGATTCTATTTATTCTATATGCCGTGTATTATCTGACATATATATCTTATATAAAATGTATCCTGGTATATAACATACATATATTCTCTATGTATATAGAATATATGTATGTATTTTTACATTTTTTAAAGTATTGCATAAAGCAAAAAATAACAATAAGGATTTTGTCGCCATTGTATCACCGGAGATGAATTTTATATTATTATAAGGAGCTTCAACGTGAAATCTTAAGAAAGAAACTTTACTCGGTTTCCAAGAAAGGAAGTAAAAATGTACTTGTATCAAATATTATATAGTAAAGTAGCACTCTCTTCTTTATAGTTGACACTTTCGGTCAAACTTATGTAGCTCCTCGATTTTAGAAACTCCGATAGATTTGACATCGTCGAGCGTGAACTGCGCAACAATGATGAGCTAGATTCTCGCTTATATCGGAGCTTTATAACGATTCATTCAATTTTCCGAGTATGTCTTTCCGCGATACTCCGACCTCAATCGATGCTTTTCTTAGGATACAAAGGGATGTTCCAATAGTTTCGTACACAGATTGCTGCTCCCGTGTATTCGTATAGAATTTTATGTATCAGTCGTGAAGTCACGGAACCGGAATAAGTATTGACCGTCTGTAGCAAGCAATAATTTTCACAGTTAAGATAATATTAATCTTGACCGATCGATTAATTCTTGTTCTTTAGCTTATACCCGTATAAATATTACGTTTATGCGCAAGTTATCATTTATTTAAAGTTTAAGACTTGAAAGTTTGTAGTTATTATTTCAATTTATAGAATGTGGAATCTGCAAATAGAAATACTTGTGTGGGAAAAGGGAATAAATAGCCTACATATTGCTATAATTTAATCTGTAACAATTTTGCTTCACAGAGTGTACTGTACATCTCTTCCACAATAAATTACGTTTGTACAACTTTCTTTGTTAATTTATATTAATTATAGTGGGTTGAGAGATATGTCAAATTGTTTATTGAAATACATTAAAACAATTAATTAGATAATCTTATTATTTTTGAGTAATGAACAGTAACACGTTATCTAACTTGCTTTAGCAAATTTAATCCGAATTAAGAAATATCACGTAAATAAAAGTACTTACTGTTCCATAAAATTCAATAATTTTGTTTTTCGACTGACATGTTTGTTTCTTTTTACAAAATCTATCAAGTTATGATCATACATATATAATTTCGAAATAATCCTGACACGCCAAATGTTAGACCATGTTTTATTGATTTTTATTAAAGGTAAAAAATTGGTTGACATAACTGTTAAATATAAATCTGCTTCCGGGATTTTTTTTTTAGAGAGTTATGTTGTTATCAAAGTAAAATTATCACGATAACGTATCTTTCTCTTTTTTATTTTATTTCAAACGGTTATAAAACTGTATATCTGTATATATCTCGTTATCTACATAAAGCATTACACCTGCGATTAAGTCATACACTTTATATTTCTTTAGCATTTATCAACGAAACGTATGTAATTATGCAACGGGGTTAATTGTACAAAAGCTACTTATATTGATGACACGATAATGGCCTCTGTTGTCGCTGACATGTAAAGTACAATTTATGTATGCTCAATAATTAATGGAAATTTATGAGATAAATTTGCATTTTACAAAAAATTATAGAAATTACAAAATAAAAATGCACGTTAGTTTCTGCTTAATAAATTTAGTAAAATAAAGAAGAAGAAGAAGAATGTTCTGTTAAGTAATTTTGCTAAAATTCAGAATAAACCGAGGAATAAACAATATTCCGAAATAATAATAACAAACAAATTCAGAAAAATATCCGTTTATTTTACTAAGATATTCTTCCTTTTTTAACAAATTCATCATTATTAATTTTATCGTCACACTTAATAATTATTAATATTAAAAGTATTAATGTTTTATTACTATTCAAAATTATTTTAAAAGTATAAAATATTTAAAAGTTGTTACTCTTTAAATGTTTCATTATTATTAAAGTTTTAGCGTCGCAAGTATTTTACGTTTAACCGATTGTAATCTATATGAGAGAATATATGTGCCGCAACGTCATTTACGTCATTGGATGTAGATTAATCTTGGTAAAAAGTAATCAAATCGCGTTGCAATAGAAACATAATTTAAGCAGGATTTAAGGCTCAATTGAGGAGCAAGAAGGGAAGGATAAAGCAACAGTTGCTAGTTCCACGTAATGTGAAGGGATGGCGCTGAGAAATCCCAGCCAACCCCCATTCTATTATTGATCCACCTCTGTGCGTTCCTTTCGGAAAACAAGCCCACTAGCCACCGCGGCCGGTCGACGTGTAACACGAGATCTTTCCCTCGTCTGCCTCGAATTTGTTTCATCGTGAACTCTAGCATAATTAAAATTGCATTCGGAATTGTGCAGGCGCAGGTGGTCGTGAGTCATGAAAAAATATTATTTACGATCTTTACTTCCCATTTGTCAAGCTTCCTCACGCAACTACCACTATAGAAGAAATGCCACGGTGGTTTTTCTCTCGAGATCTCGCGAACGCGATTCCGCAAGAATAATAGATCTTATCGGAAATGTCGACATCACCTCACATCCCTGCAAAAGTCTCTCAAATAAATTGTTCGCGGGAACATTCGCGTCATATACACGCAGTACGAACAGAAAAGCGTAATTTGGCACCTGTGACAAATGTAACAGAGTTATTTCAAGAAGAGTTTGCGATCTCGTAATTAAGAGCTCGTGCAAAATGTAGGTATTGTTAAAGATAACGTTTACTCAGCACGAAAAGAGTGTTTAGATACGTAAAGATTGAAAGATTTCCAGAATTTAAGAATTTCTAAATAAAAACTTCAAGAAGAGTTAAAAAATTCCTAAGACGCTTGAAAGATGAAGACGTCTTCTTTTTCTTCAATTAAATACATTGATTATGTTTAAGAAGTGCTTTAAGAGATCGAGTACTATCAAGCTCAAGTTCTAAATTCTAAGAAATTGGAAATCCATTTAGCGTTGAAAAACCAACATTATCAGAGACTGAATATTTCAAAGTCCAAGGGAGTTCTCCGAGCGTATAAAAATTTGAGCACCCAAGAGTTCAGAAAATTAATGACTTGAGAGATTAAAAGTGTGAGAGAAACTGAGAACAATACACGTTTTTGTGAAAAGTTGAAGATATAATTTACGATCGCAAGAAGTAAATATAAAAAGTCAAATTTAGGGGCCGAATAAAAATGCTAATAGATCAATACAATTACATTCGGTGACACACGTTGCGTGCCGCTGCATAATCGAATTTCAATCTGAATTTTATTTGAAATTTTAATTTGATTTTGTAATAGATAGCTTGTGGTCGAATAACTGTAGCATTTCGCAATCATGATAATTGCAAGACGAAAAAATTGTTGCAGAACAATCATTAATTTTAATTTTAATTTACATTTGTTTGTTTACCATTTTGCTCATTTTTATCCATAGATTTGACAAAATAGCTGTACAAAGTTCGAAAGGTATAAATAAAAAAAATATAAAACTAAAAAAGCACTTACATTTTTTCCAATTCAAATTTAAATTTCTAAGAGAGAATTTTCAAAATGAATTAATTGCCCCGATACGATTTTGCTGGGAAGAGATATATATAGATTTTTTGATTATGCAAATTGTAACATAATTAGAATTTTATGAAACAAAGAAGTAATTCTGTTAACTTTCTTTAACCGATTTTTCAGTAAGTATACTAAAACTCTTCCAATACATTACAATGTGATAGTTACGCTACTTTCATTGATAATGTGTCAGTTTACACTCGTTTATCGGACACCCTTCCACTTACGACTTACGAAGCTTTCATGAACTGCACACTACCCTTTACGATAAACTTGACTTTAGTAACCCGGTTGATCTTTCACGAGCTTATAATCTGCATGATATACAGAAAATGTTATATTTTCCGTAATATCATAAAACTCAAAATTACGTTTACTCTTTTTTTACGCAAATATTACAATAATTAAATATTTGGTACTTTTTTATATAAATATCGTGCATTTCAAATATCGAGACTTTAACCTTTGCAGATATATAATAAAAAATAATACTTCAAACAGAAAAGATATTTTTGTGATTGTTAGCTAAAGCCTAGATATGATCAAGAAATAAGGAAGGATATTATATAGAGTAGTTATAAAAATCCTAGCCCATTTTAATATTTAATAAAACATTTTTCTTCTTTATATTTCTTTTATGCTTTCCTTTATTCTTTATGAGTTGCGTCGTAATCTGCGCATTTACTTTAACGTCACATTTTTTAGGGCAAGTATGGTAAAGCGTAAAGAGTCTAGGGACCAATCCACTCTTAATATTAAAGAAAAAATGATGTATGATATATGATCCCTCTATTAGGCATCTTTGACCTGAAATTTTAATATTCAACGATCTGGAATCTCTCTATAAAGAAAGAATGTATATGATGTATGAGGGTAAGATTTACATTTTTATGTGTACACGCACGCGCATATAATTTAACATTCACAATTTTACATCTTAACATTTTAATTTTATGTGGGATTTTTAATTTTAAATAGGATTTTTTTAATGCTTGTAATTAATTATAAAATTAACTTTTATTATTAACATGATTTATTTAAATTTTTGTGTAATATTTACATATGAGAAACAAAGCAGTACATATTAAACAGATCCTACTAGATATCTTTCGTGTATTTTCTTGCAAAATGTCATATTTCTATTTTAATGTTGCAAATTTCTATCCTATCTTTTATATTCATAGAGAAAG